AAACCTTTCCAGACATCATGATCTTTGTGACAAGTTGGGCATGATTGATATCTATGCTCCAACTTGAGGGGGAGTGTTGACAGTTGTTTATGTATTCAGGTTTAGTACCATAAGGGTACTGTTGTAATTTCTCCTCTGTTTATATTGTTCGACTGTACTAGTATAAATAATAAAATCATTTTTTCGCCCCCTATGTTCTAGAGGGCTTTCAGTCACTCGACTCACCTCTCTTCTCTCTTCTCCTCTCCTCTCTTCACTTGCTCTTGCTCAACATCATCCACAGATAGTGTTGACCTATGTGGGGCTGCATAGAATTTACCAACCACCCAATAACTGTGTAGTTATCCTACATCCATTTCTCATATGTAGGATCATTCTCTTCCGGCATCACCTTACTACCCGTGAGAAACCCTAGTTTACCTATACTACAAACATGAATCTTAATAGATTGTGCCCAAGCAAGGTAATTTGTTCCGTCAAGTTTAATTGTAGTCACTCTTGTCAAAATGAAATCTACAGGACCAACCCCTGACACTGGGATCTGCTTGATCTCACTTCCAGATTGCTCCATCAATCAAACGAAAATCAAAAAACAATATTTTCAACCTTAATAGACCTAACTAAGGTCAATCAAACACTCAAAAGTCCCAAAATTAGGGTTTCATCGTACCTAGCCTCCAGGGAGAAAGAGAGAAGAGGTAGCCACTAAACCAGAGAAATCAAAACCACTTCCAACTGCAGCCGCCCACTTTTGGAGATAAAAAGGAACCCTCCAAGCCTTGAGCGCCACACCCAACAGCCTCTTTAACCCGTAACTGGAACTCTCTAGTCAGCTAGGGTTTTGGGAAAAAATTCTGCAGTCCCACTTTCTTGCCAATCTTCGGCCAGCTTCTGACTCTCCGAACCCTCTACCAACTAGGCAAACAAGATCTCTGATTGATCAGCAATTTATCTCTCCATACACTTTTCGATTAGAAAAAAGTGTATGGGAAAAAAAAAGAAAAAAAAGGAGAAAAAGAAGGAAGACCTGCTTTGATACCAAGATGTGATTCAGGCCAATAAAATTAGCAGAAATATTTAGATTAGAGCAGAAAGAAGGAAGGAAGAAGAGGAAGACAGCAAGAAGAAGAAAGAAAAATGGAGAAGAAAGGAGAAAGAAAGGAGGAGTTCAATAATCTCCTCTTTCCCCTACTCTAATCTTTTTATTAAACTTACTTAAGTTACATAATTTACATGGAGGCCCTTAAGTAGGCGTCCACATCAGCAATAAACTTAAAAAACAAAAACAGAAGCTAAAGGCCCATAAAGAAATAAGGCCCAATAAGAAAACATAACAAGAAGGAACTAATAAGAATGATACTAAAGGACTAGGACCCATTCGGCCCAGTCTCTCTACACCTTTTTGTAGTCAAGGTGACATCTAAGGCCATGGTAGGAAATAGCACAGTCATCTCTTTGGGCAGCTTGGGATTGGCAAGAATAGGTGGAACAATCAGGAACTTGGAAAGTAGAATTGGTGGCTCTATGTTCAGGGCCAATTTGCATTACAAACTCAGTGAAGGAAAAGTTATTGAGCAAAATGTAAGTGGTAGGGGTTTCAAAAGTAGTTATTTCTTGGGAAAAATGCAATAGACATATTCCATGGACTCTTGAACATATTTTCAGGGGAGTTGAAAGATTAGTAAAAGATATAAATACTGATTTCAGGTGGATTAGAAGGAAGGCAAACGGGCTAGCAGATACTTTAGCCAAAGAAGGGACTGCAAGGCAGCATCTATATTGGGCCTCTTTGTAATATTAGTTATGTTTTTTGGGGGTGAAAATTTGATCATCAATTTGTACTAATCCCACATATATTTACTTCATGAATAAAAAAAAAAATTGCTGACCAAAAGAAACATAACAAACAAAAAAAATAGAAAAAAAAGTTGCTCCGAGAAGTAAAAGGGCAAGAGGACACACCTTGACTGCATCCAAATATGTCTGTATTTGCTGTACAATTCATAAATAAGCTCATCTTTGCAATATCCAATATTACTCAAGACTATCAAAAGTTTTTGATGTGGATCACCAGTAATATTTCCAGGGTGAAGACCTTGCTCTTTCCCATCAGGTTCATGTGCAAATCCATTTTCTAAACCTGAAGTTTCATGGTCTGACTTATTCTCTGTGAGTTCACTTCCAACCAGCTCTAGAAAACCTGAATAATGTTATATCACAAAATTCCACATTATTAGTACTAAAAGAAAAGACATAGAAGTTCAAATAAAAAATACGAGTAACAGTAGCTGAACCACATTACCTGAAAAATTGAGGAAACAGTTCATTAAAGCAAATCTTACAGATTCTTGAATTTCTTGGAGCTGCTCAAAAATGTCACCTGACTTTGTAGATGCATTCCTTAGATTCTCAATCATCCTTGAATAAATAACAAAAAAGTACAACATAAGGTGAATATTATTCTGAATAAGGAAATATTGTTTTTAATATTATAATAAAAAGATTGATAAATATTTTCTTTAATATTATAATAAAATTTAAACAAAAAATAAAGTACAGCATAAGGTGATAAGGTCTCTGGGTGTTTGTAGTGGTGAGCTATGCCCCTTGTGTGTAGTCCAATGAAGCAAAAAGACAAAAGAAAAAACTGTTGTTGCTTGAGCCTTACAACAAAAACAAATAAGTGACAAGGAATGAAAGGAAAAGAAACACTACCTCAAATCACATGACCGGTAAGTCAACTTTATTTCAGGCATATAACCATCTCTCTAGGAGAGATAAGGTGAGACTGGTTGATGGGTCATTCTCCACCATAGCCGGTCAAGGAACCATCTCTCTTCCTTTTGGTCTTATCCTCTCTAATGTGTTGCATGTTCCAAAATTACCTACCAATTTACTTGCCATTAGTAGTATTACTCAATCTTTGAACAGTTCAGTTTCCTTCTTTCCTTCTTGTGTATTTTAGGATTTGGCCTCAGGGAAGACGATTGGTAGAGGAAGCGTGATGGATGGTCTCTACGTGCTGGAGAACAAGGCCGGTCTTGTGGCTACAAAGTCTTTGAGTTCTTCTAATGAGAGTCATTGTTAGATAGTGTATGCCCTTAGCTCCAATCAGATTGATGTACTTGATAACATTTATTGTAAATGAATAAAAGTTCATAACTAATTCATGTGATTTGGTGTGTTTCTGTGTAATACCCTTAAACTGAACACTTATGAGACTCGTGTTAGTTTAGAATCTTCAAAGCCGTTGGATAGATCTGAGGAGATTTATCCTGCCAAGGCTGACACTGGTGTGCTGCAAAGTGTTGGGGTGGCATGTCTCAGCTGCCAGGGTGAGACCTGAGGTACATGTAGTGTAGGTTTTCTTGAAACCCTGAACCAGACCAAATTCCATCATTTCCCTGGACCTTGGAGATAGATGGGCAAAACTGAAATGTTACACCTGACCCCTACACTCAATTATGGTACTGCACTATGTGTCGGATTGGGCTATCTTTGATATGCCAATCAGTGAGATCCTTAGAGAGGGTCAAAACCTGGATATGTTGGGACAGTCCGAGAATTTACCTGAGTGGGTGATCATAGTGACAGGATCAACCCCTTTGTCGGACAAAGTGAATGATTGGGGAATGCACTATCTCTTATTGAAACCTAAACTGCCGGTAGTGGATTTCAAATGTGTTTGAAATTTGTTTTGCAAAATATATTTATATAGAGATATACATACACACACACACATATATATATATTATGGTTTCAAATTGTTTGCAAAAGGTTTTAATTCCCGGGATCCATGTGAGTAGAGAATGCAACACTGTACCTTGCAGCTGAGGGAGAGGTCCTCTCTTGTCAGGCAGTGTTTGATCATTAAGGGCTAAGAGGTTAAGTGTAAGACCATTGAGGGTAATACCTGATGGGCTAATCTTGCATCTGCCCATAGTCCTTGGGTTTTCATAAGGTGGCTGGACCCAATGACCATTTAGTGTAAATGTTGGGCCCATTAAGATCCCATGGTGATGGACTCAAGGGTTCACTATGTCCTACAGTGAATTCGGCCAAGCCTTGTAACAGAGGCTAGGTTGAACCCATGTGGCTGATGTATAAATCAATGCTAGGATCCCACACCATACAAAGAGAACCACGTTAGCCAGCATATTAAAGGGAACGTGAGATATGTGACTTAATGGGCCTAAAGCCCATTTCGAACTGGGCTTAAGTCAATTAATTAAAAGGGGGCAAATTTTGATTTATAACCTAATCAGGATTAGCTAAAGGATAAGATAAATCTTATCCATTTAAGAGTCCAAATCCAAATATCAAATTTGGATCAAGAAACTCTCTCCTAATTGGATTAAGAGGTTGATCCAAAGAAGGCTATAAATAGGGGGCGAATTCCTCGATTTAAACACACTCAACAACCTGTAGAATTCTCCCCAGTTCTTGCTGCCCTTACCCAGTTCGATTTCCACCTGTGGAGCTGACCAAGAAAGGTTCTTGATATTGTTTCTTGCTGGAAGAAACAATTCAAAATCGTGCTCACCAGCCCTTGTTCGATTCTTGCTGATGAATTTAGGTTCTTGCTGAAGAACCATCCTACTGATCCTGCCTCACCATACGCTATGTCATTTTTAGTGGAGGCGGGTTTTGGTCTTCTCTTTGGGCGTGAACACCTACGTTGGGAGCTACTGTTACTTCGTATCAAGTATATCCCTCTCTTCCCTTTTGGTTTCAGATCTGGTCCGGTTTTGATTCAAGAGCGAACCTTGAAAATGCAGTTTTCTAAATTAGGGAATATGATTCCCGGATGGGAGAGAGAAATTTTTTGAAATTTCGCCCAACCTTCCTGCAGGGTTCGGCCATCCATATGATGAATCTCCCATCCCTTCAGTTACACCTACTTATGGCATAGTCGTCTTGGTCATCTTTCTTTTGAGTCGTTAAAGTTTATATTTCCAGAGTTATTTAAGTCTTTATCATTACATGAGTTACAATGTCAGACATGTCAATGGAGTAAACATTGTAGAAGTTTTTTCCTTCAAGAAATAAAAGATCTGAATTTCCTTTTCACATTGTTTATTCTGATGTTTAGGGGCTTGTTACTCTACCTTCTGAGACTGGAAGCAAGTGTTTCATTACTTTGATTGATGACTACTCTAGATATACTTGGATTTATCCTATGTGATCTAGAGATGAAGTGCCAAACATTGTAAAATATTTTCAACGAATGATTTTTACTCAATTCCAAACTGAGATTCATAAATTCCAATTAAACAGCGCAAAGGAGTATCTTCGTAGTGATCTCACAGAGTTCTTCGCTTCGTGTGGATCTCTTCATCGGAGCTCTTTTTCTAGGACACCCCAGCAAAATGGTGTTGTTGAGAGAAAAAATCATCTTCTCGAAGTTGCTCGGGGATTATTACACCATATGCATGTTCCAAAACGCTTCTAAATGGATGATGCTATGTGTGTTGCATATACCATCTTGTTGCTTTATTCATGACCTGTCTCCTACTCGTGGTAAGCTCGACCCTCGTGCTATCCCTTGTGTTTTTCTTGGTTACTCTAGTGTTTTAAAAGCGCAAGGCGCAAAGAAAGTCACAGGAGTCAATTTGCAACTAAGGCACAAGGCGCAAGGAGAGGCACGCACCTTTTTAAGCAAGGCGCAAAAATAAAAATAAAAAAAAAGATGATGATTATCTAAACTTCAAAAAATTATTAAACATAATATTAATAAAAATATAAACTTTAATTTTAAAATAAATGTTTTAAAACACCTATTATCTAATATTATAATACATAAATATAACATGTAAAGCATATCCAAATGAGAATATAAAAATAAAATCAAATACGTAAAACATTTTCAAGCATATAAAACCCATAATCTTTTTTTTTCTTAATTGCACTACTTCAAGTAGCTAATGTGATGTAAAACATATTACATTCCTGATTCTACGAGCCGCCTTTGTACCATGCTTCTCGAGGCAAGCCCAAACAAGTCCACGTTAGGTCTTAAACTCTTAGTTCTCACACAAAAAATGATGATTTTATACTTTTAATTGCTTTTTAAGAAAACATTTTATTAGGATGAATGAATAAACAACATTAACAAATAGGGGGGTTCTCGAAGCTTCGATGAGGTGCAAGGCGCACCAGGTGCACGCCCAAAAGGGTTGCGCCTAGGACCCAGGCGAGGCACTTATCCTGAAATGCGTCTCACCTATGCGCCTAGGCACGCCTCAGGCGCACCTTTTAAATCACTGGGTTACCCTTTATCTCAAAAAGGCTACCGATGCTACGGTCCTGCTTCACGCAAGTACTGCCTCCATGGATGTATCCTTCTTTGAGAGTCAACCTATTTTCTCGGTTTCTCCTCAAGGGGAGAGTAGGGTTGAGGAGAAACACACCAGGTTCAATTACCTCCTCTTCCTAATCCTCCTCCATTTCGTGTCTTCCTTCGCCGCCACAATAATCAGTAGGGTTCAAGAGTCGTGGAACCTAAAACTATGTAGCCAACATCATCGGACTCTCCAAAGGCAGATTCTCAGTAGCTAGGTACACTTGTTCCCACTAATATGCTTGGCCCTCTTGATATTGATCCTCCTGTTATTGGTGATCTTGATGTTCCTATTGCTAAGAAAAAGGTGTTAGATCTTGTACTACTAATCATCCTATCTCTCACTTTATGTCTTATGATGATATCTCACCTTCATATTGTGTATTTCTTTCCTCTATTAGCAGTGTCTCTGTTCCTAAGAATGTGGTAGAAGCCTTATTTATACCTAAATGGACAAATGCAATGAAGGAAGAAATTAATGCCTTGTACAAAAATGGCACTTGAAAGTTGGTGGATCTTCTTGAAGGAAAAGAACTAGTGGGTTGCAAGTGAGTGTTCACAGTGAAGCATAGAGCTGATGGTACGGTAGAAAGGTACAAAGCCAGATTGGTGGCAAAAGGTTTTACACAGGTGTATGGAGTAGACTATGCAGAGACTTTTGCTCCAGTAGCCAAGATGAACTTTATCCGAGTCCTCCTTTCACTAGCAACTTATCTTGATTGGAAGCCTCACCAATTGGACATTAAAATGCATTCTTGAATGGTGACCTAAAAGAGAAGTACATGACTAAGCCTCCAAGATTTTGTGCCAAAGGTAGTGAGCAGAAGGTGTGCAAGTTAAAAAATTATTATATGGATTGAAACAATCACCTCGGGCCTGGTTTAGTAAGTATCACTTAACTGTACAACAAATGGGGTTCAAACAATGTCAGTCAGATCATACTCTATTTGTGAAGACATAATAATCACAGGAGATAACAAGATTGAAATACAGGGGCTAAAAATATTCTTAGGCACTTAGTTCGAAGTGAAAGATCTAGGCCCCTTACGTAATTTCCTTGGGATTAAAGTTGCCTGCT